TAGTACACACATGGTTCAGTGATTTTAGTACACACATGGCTCAATGATTATAGTACACACATGGTTCAGTGATTTTAGTACACACATGGCTCAATGATTATAGTACACACATGGTTCAGTGATTTTAGTACACACATGGCTCAATGATTATAGTACACACATGGTTCAGTGATTTTAGTACACACATGGCTCAATGATTATAGTACACACATGGTTCAGTGATTTTAGTACACACATGGCTCAATGATTATAGTACACACATGGTTCAGTGATTTTAGTACACACATGGCTCAATGATTATAGTACACACATGGTTCAGTGATTTTAGTACACACATGGCTCAATGATTATAGTACACACATGGTTCAGTAATTATAGTACACTCATGGCTCAATGATTATAGTACACACATTTCTTATCCAATATTATAGTACACGCATGGCTCAATGATTATAGTACACACATAGTTCAATGATTATAGTACTCACATAGTTCAATGATTATAGTACACACATTTCATCTCAATATTATAGTACACACATGGCTCAATGATTATAGTACACACATAGCTCAATGATTATAGTACACACATGGCTCAATGATTATAGTTCACACATGGCTCAATGATTATAGTACACACATGGTTCAGTGATTTTAGTACACACACACTGTTTGATGATTATAGCACACACATTCTTTGAATATTTTGGCACAAACATTGTTTGTTGATTATAGCACGTCCATTGTTTGATCATTATAGCACACACTCATTGATGATTTTGGTACATACATTGTTTGATGATTAAAACACACACATTTCAGTAACAGTAACAGAGACAAAAGTGGAAGTGATCTGACACAAAAATTCCTTGTTTAGACTCACATAATAAATGAGAATATTCACTTGATTATGTGTGTATGTGAGTGTGCCTGTGCTTATGTATGTGAGTATATATCTGCATGTTTGTTTGAGTGTATGTATGTATGTGTATGTATGGGTATGTTCCTGTGCATGTGAGTGTGTATGTCTGTGAGCTACCTTGCCTGTCCACTGAACACCCTTCCAGATACAGAAGTAACAGATGATCCAGACTCCCAAGAGAGACAGCGCCAGCTGCCATCTCATGGCCCCAGGGTTTTCAATGCCATCCGTGATTTGGAGAGCTTCTCGTCTAGGGGGATCATAAATTTCAGACATTAACATCAACTGAAACAGACAGACATTTACATCACTATAGACAGACAGGCAAGCACGTCAGCAGAGAGACAGACAGAAAAACACATTGCAAGAGACAAAAACATACTGACATCACTAGGGACAGACATATAAGCTCATCTTAAGGGACAAACAAACACTGACATCACTACCGACAGAAACACATTCACATCACCAGAGACAGGCAGAAAAGCACATCAATATCTACACATTACCACAGACCATTCACATCATCAGAGACAGACAAGCACATCACCAGAGACAGACATTCACATCATCAGAGACAGACAGATATTCACAACACCAGAGACAGACTTTCACATCATCAGAGACAGACAGATATTCACAATACCAGAGACAGACAGATATTCACAACACCAGAGACAGACAGATATTCACAACACTAGAGACAGACAGATATTCACAACACCAGAGACAGACAGATATTCACAACACCAGAGACAGACAGACAAGCCCATCACCAGAGACAGACAGACAAGCACATCACTAGAGATCAACAGACAAGCACCTCACCAGAGACCAACAAACAAGCGCATCACCAGAGACAGACAGACATTCACATCACCAGAGACAGACAGACATTCACATCACCAGAGATAGACAAGCACATCACTAGACATAGGTAGACATTCACATCACCACAGGCAGACAGACAAGCATATCCCCAGAGAACCACAAGCTAATTATCAGATACATAGACCTTTACATCACTGAGATGAACAGATAAGCACATCATCAGAGACAGACATTCACATCACCACAGACAGATATTCACATCACCAGAGACAGACAGATATTCACATCACCAGAGACAGACATTCACATCACTATAGACAGAATAATATTTGTATCCATGAAAGTTCACCCTATACACTGAGTCACTAAGAAAGTGTCACAGAGGTATCAAAAGCTATGAGACTGAGAGAAGGAAAGTTTAATTCCTAAATTGTTATTAACAGCAAGAGTAAGAAACCACTCAATATGTTAAAGAAGTATCATAACAAACTAAATTTGCAAAAGACCATGAACCAAAGATACTTGAATCTGAAGTTGAAAATGCCCTTAATCAAAGTAAAAAAATAGAAAAGAACTACATGTGAAATGCGATGTCTCCCCAAGATCACTAGCAACACTAGACTAGACAGGGTTAAGAACACCAGCATTAGAGAAAAAGTTGGAACTAAATCAAGTCTGGATTATATTGACAGACAAAGAATGAAATGGTTCAGCCATTTAGTGAAAATGCAGCCAGACCAAACTGCATATTAGACTTTTAACAGTAGAACATCTGGGAGGAAGGCGAGAGGTAGACCAAGAAAGAGATGGATAAATGGTGTAGTTAAAACCTGCAAAAAGATGACAAATCCATCACTCAGGCCACACGAGAAGTGCAGAACAAATTCAGAAAACTACGAGACTGGGCTTCAACCTGATATCAGTGTGACCACAAAGGAAGAAGAAAATTGAGCCATGTCTGTATAAACACAGACTGACATCTGGCAGACAGACATCTGAGAACTCACAGCCAAAATTCTTCCACAGGTGACACGTAGTTATGTCCATCGTACTCCTGGGAACAGTTGAATTCTGGGTACATGCTGGGGATAAAACTGGCATTCCATTCTGTGGTAATATTGACCTGCAATGTGAGAGAAGCTACTTCAGCGGTAAACAAACCATTTATTTCTAAGTGAATCCACGCCTGCTTGTTCTACACCTTGGGCATGTCGCTCACTGTGTACAACATAGGCACCAGAACATGTACACAAGTTGTCAGTTAAAGTATTTATTTACAGATTTCATATCATTTCAAAAATATTATTGCATGTATTTGCCTTTCAGCATATCTCTCTCTCTCTCTCTCTCTCTCTCTCTCTCTCTCTCTCTCTCTGTGGGTGGGTGTGCGTGCGTGCATGCGTGTGGGTGTCTGTGTGCATCTGTGATGTGTGTATTCACATATCACTCGCAATGACGACCAGTTCTTTCATCTGCTAGCTAGAGGCAGGTTTGTAAGTGCTCAGATGGCAGATAAATCTAGCCCTGGCACAGACAGTTCTTGCCAAGTTTGGGTGTGGCATCAGGGTCACATCCATTTGGGGATCAAACGTATTATCTTTTCTAATTTGTCTTTGTTAAACTGCTGCTGCTGTCTTGGCTGTTTCACAGGATGCTGTCCCCTTTTGACAAAGAGATAAGCACAACGATGAATGGTCAATGGCAGCAACATCCCAAATATCAGGGTCAAGGCCAAGTCACCACCATCTCATACATCATTACATTAGTTCTACTACTTTCATCACTTACATCCTTACTTTAGCTCTGCTATCTTCATGTATGATGTAAAATATCATTACATTAGTTCTCTACCACCATAACATGCATCATTACATTAGTTTTACTACCATCATAACATACATCATTACATCAGTTCTGCTACATTAGTTCTACCACTATGACTACATGTGCTCACCTCAAACCATGATGTGGTGTTCGTACAGTTAAAAGGAATCTTGTCTCTGTCGTAGGCACTCATACATTTTGCCGAGTTCCACTCGTGGCCGCAGGTGGCCCAAGGAAGCGTCGATGAGAAGGAGTGGAATAAATAAAACACCGCCCATGCCAGTACTACGATGTAGTAGGTGTTCAACCAGAAAGCCATGATCACTGAAGCATAACCGACTCCTGTAGAAGCAATAAGGTGAAGTCAGTCAATCAAGTGTAAAAATAAAGTGAAGGACTCCATCCCTTCAGGCGTATTGGGTATGTAAACCAATCGGCACTTGGTGGGTGATGTGGTCAGCATCATGCCAGCCACCTTTACTTCCCAGGACTTCACCTGGTATCCATTCAAAGCTAGGTTACCTAAAAAGCCAAGATCATTTTTTGAAAAATGTCCAGCATATTCAGGTCCTGAACCCACAAACTTCCTATCTGCCGGCAAGGGTTTAGCCCCTACAACATGGCAGCTCCTTCAATCAATGAGGAGCCTTCAAGAGACTTAATCTTAGTTTAAGAGCATAATAATAATAATAAATAGTCATGCAATTATTTCATGTCACATCTATCAAATATTCAGTAACTATACCACAGTTATATCAAATATTTGGTCTCTATACCGCCAGTCTGTCAAATATTCATTAACTATACCTTACTTCTATCATATATTCAGTATCTATTATACCAAAGCCTAAAATGGGTACCTGGATGGCTGTCCTGGGGAAGTAAAGATGGCTGGCGTAATGCTGACTACATTACCCACCCAGTGCCGATGGTCTGTAAAAATGTGGGTGCTCATACCATATGCCCGAAAAGGATCTTTACAATTAAATTATACCAAAACTTCTATTAAGCGGTATCTGTGCATCAAACCTATCAAATATTCAGTAGCTATATCAAACTTCTATCATCAGTAACTGTGCATCAAACCTATCAAATATTCAGTAACTATATCAAACTTCTATCATCAGTAACTGCACATCAAACCTATCAAATATTCAGTAGCTATATCAAACTTCTATCATCAGTAACTGTACATCAAACCTATCAAATATTCAGTAACTATACCAAACTTCTATCATCAGTAACTGTGCATCAGACCTATCAAATATTCAGTAACTATACCAAACTTCTATCATCAGTAACTGCACATCAAACATCAAATATTCAGTAACTATACCAAACTTCTATCATCAGTAACTGTACATCAAACCTATCAAATATTCAGTAACTATACCTCACACAAATCAAAAAGAGCAGATGTTACCTTTCCATATGGGTGTGATCTTCCAGACAGTAAGACCACCGACACTCAGCCACTGGCCTAGAGACAGTTCCATGAAGTACATGGGTATCCCAGCAAAAATTACAGCCAACATATAAGGAATCAAGAATATACCTGCAACATGGGATCAGTGGTAGAAGTAAGTTATTGTAACATGTGATATGTGGGAGAGTGTAGTTAATGTAACATGAGATCACTGGTAGAAGTAAGTCACCGTAACATGTAATATGTGGGAGAGTGTAGTTAATGTAACATGTGATGTGTGGGAGAGGGTAATTACTGTAACATGTGATAGTGGGAGGGGGTAGTTACTGTAACATGAGATCTATTGTAGAGGGTAGTTACGGTAACATAAGATCTATGAGAGAGGTAAGTTATTGTAACATGTGATATGTGGTAAGGTAAGTAAGTTACTGTCCATGAGATCTATAGTAGAGTTTAGATAGTATAACATGAGATCAGTTGTAGAGGTAAGTTACTGTAACATATGGTGAGTGGTAGAGATAAGTTACTGTAACATATGGTGAGTGGTAGAGGTAAGTTACTGTAACATATGGTGAGTGGTAGAGGTAAGTTACTGTAACATATGGTGAGTGGTAGAGGTAAGTTACTGTAACATATGGTGAGTGGTAGAGGTAAGTTACTGTAACATATGGAGAGTGGTAGACAGTATTTGTTTCAGCATCTCTCAGAAAGTGTGTCTCACATCTCTCAGACAGTAGATGTACCAGCATCTCTCAGACAGTACGTGTCTCAGCATCTCTCAGACAGTATGTGTCTCAGCGTCTCTTAGACAGTATGTGTCTCACATCTCTGAGTCAGTACGTGTCTCACATCTCTCAGACAGTACGTGTCTCACATCTCTCAGACAGTACGTGTCTCAGCATCTCTCAGACAGTATGTGTCTCAGCATCTCACAGACAGTTCGTGTCTCACATCTCTCAGACAGTTCGTGTCTCACATCTCTCAGACAGTAGATGTCCCAGCATCTCTCAGACAGTACATGTCTCACATCTCACAGACAGCACATGTCCCAGCATCTCTCAGACAGTACATGTCTCAGCATCTCGCAGACAGTACATATCTCAGCATCTCTCAGACAGTACATGTCTCAGCCTTTCTCAGACAATAGGTGTCCTAGCATCTCTCAGACAGTAGATGCCCCAGCATCCCTTCAGCCCCTCCTCCCTCAAATTATATAAGAAAACATTAGTAAACCCCACCCCCACCTCACCTTCCAAACCACGCCCTTCTCACCCCCTTACAAATTACCAGAGCAAATAATCTTTTTTTGGGGTGGGCGTAGGTCCTTGAAAGTCCCTTCTGAATGTCCTGGTGCCTATACTGACAACTTCCCACATCCCCCCCCTCCCCAATCACCCCCTAGAGTATTGCTGACCCCAGCCCTGTCTTATTGTATTTAAGCCAGGAAACAAATGTTGATTTATCTAATAACACATAAGCATAAAGAACTGGTTTACTGTTATTCTAAGTTAGGATAGATGCAGACACGGCAGTATCATTAAGGTTGGCTGATATCACAGGTGATTCTATTTGATGTCGCTGGATGGTTTAAAATAAACCACCTTCCACAAAGCGCTTACGTTAATTGGGGAAAGGGGGTGGGTGCAAGTCAAAGGAGCTCCAAGGTGCCGGCACCTATGTTTGGAAGGAGAATAGTGAATATTGCTTTTGTAGTCAAACTTACAGGAGTTACATGTAGAATTTGAGGATTTACATATGCAAGCTACATCAGGTACACGTACAAGTTACATCAGTTACACGTACAAGTTACATACATTACATGAACAAGCTACAGCAGTTACACGTACAAGTTACAGCAGTTACACGTACAAGCTACAGCAAATACACGTAAAAGTTACAGCAGTTACACGTACAAGATACAGCATTTACATGTACAAGTTACACGTACAAGTAATAGCAGTTACACGTACAAGTTACACGTACAAGTTACACGTACAAGTTATAGCAGTTACACATGCAAGCTACAGCAGGTTACACGTGCAATTACAGCAGTTACACGTACAAATTACACAAACAAGCGATAGCCGTTACACGTAATAGTTACACGTACCAGTCACAGCAGTTACACATATAAGTTACAGCAGTTACACGTAAATGTTATAGCACGTACAAGTTACAGCAATTACACATATAAGTTACAGCAGTTACACGTAAATGTTATAGCAATTACACATATAAGTTACAGCAGTTACACGTAAATGTTATAGCACGTACCAGTCACAGCAGTTACACATATAAGTTACAGCAGTTACACGTAAATGTTATAGCAATTACACATATAAGTTACAGCAGTTACACGTAAATGTTATAGCAGTTACACGTACAAGCTACAGCAGTTACACGTACAAGCTACAGCAGTTACACGTACAAGTTACAGCAGTTACACGTACAAGTTACAGCAGTTACACGTACAAGCTACAGCAGTTACACGTACAAGTTACAGCAGTTACAGGTGCAAGTTACATGTAAAGTTACAGCAGTTAGACGTACAAGTTACACGTACAAGTGACAGTAGTTTCAGCAATTACACATACATGTTATAACAGTTACACGTACAAGTTATAGCAGTTACAGTACAAGTTACAGCAGTTACACGTACAAATTACAGCAGTTACACGTACAAATTATAGCAGTTACACGTATAAGCTACAGCAGTTACACGTGCAAGTTAACGTAAAGTTACAGCAGATAGACGTAGAAATTATATGTACGAGTGAAAGCAGTTACACGTACACGTTACACGTACAAGTTATTACAGTTACACGTACAAGTTATAGCAGTTACAGTACAAGCTACAGTAGTTACACGTACAAGTTACAGCAGTTACACGTAAAAATTACAGCAGTTACACCTACAAGTTACAGCAGTTACACCTACAAGTTACAGCAGTTACACCTACAAGTTACAGCAGTTACACCTACAAGTTACAGCAGTTACACCTACAAGTTACAGCAGTTACACATACAGGTTATAACAGTTACACGTACAAGTTATAGCAGTTACACGTACAAGTTACAGCAGTTACACGTACAAGTTACAGCAGTTACACATACAGGTTATAACAGTTACACGTACAAGTTATAGCAGTTACACGTACAAGTTACAGCAGTTACACGTGCAAGCTACAGCAGTTACACATACAAGTTACAGCAGTTACACGTACAAGTTATAACAGTTACACGTACAAGTTACAGCAGTTACACGTACAAGTTACAGCAGTTACACATACAGGTTATAACAGTTACACATACAAGTTATAGCAGTTACACGTACAAGTTACAGCAATTACACATACAGGTTATAACAGTTACACATACAAGTTATAACAGTTACACGTACAAGTTACAGCAGTTACACATACAGGTTATAACAGTTACACGTACAAGTTATAGCAGTTACACGTACAAGTTATAGCAGTTACACGTACAAGTTATAACAGTTACACGTACAAGTTATAGCAGTTACACGTACAAGTTACAGCAGTTACACGTGCAAGTTACAGCAGTTACACATACAAGTTACAGCAGTTACACCTACAAGTTATAGCAGTTACACGTACAAGTTACAGCAGTTACACGTACAAGTTATAGCAGTTACACCTACAAGTTATAGCAGTTACACGTACAAGTTATAGCAGTTACACATACAAGTTACAGCAGTTACACCTACAAGTTATAGCAGTTACACGTACAAGTTACAGCAGTTACACGTACAAGTTACAGCAGTTACACCTACAAGTTATAGCAGTTACACGTACAAGTTACAGCAGTTACACGTGCAAGTTACAGCAGTTACACATACAAGTTACAGCAGTTACACGTACAAGTTATAGCAGTTACACGTGCAAGTTACAGCAGTTACACGTGCAAGTTATGGCAGTTACATGTACAAGTTATAGCAGTTACACGTACAAGTTACAGCAGTTACACGTACAAGTTACAGCAGTTACACATACAAGTTACAGCAGTTACACGTACAAGTTACAGCAGTTACACGTACAAGTTACAGCAGTTACACGTACAAGTTACAGTAGTTACACGTACAAGTTACAGCAGTTACACGTGCAAGTTATAGCAGTTGCACGTGCAAGTTACAGCAGTTACACGTGCAAGTTATAGCAGTTACATGTACAAGTTATAGCAGTTACACGTACAAGTTACAGCAGTTACACGTACAAGTTACAGCAGTTACACGTGCAAGTTATAGCAGTTACATGTACAAGTTATAGCAGTTACACGTACAAGTTATAGCAGTTACACGTACAAGTTACAGCAGTTACACGTGCAAGTTATAGCAGTTACATGTACAAGTTATAGCAGTTACACGTACAAGTTATAACAGTTACACGTACAAGTTATAGCAGTTACACGTACAAGTTACAGCAGTTACACGTGCAAGTTACAGCAGTTACACATACAAGTTACAGCAGTTACACGTACAAGTTATAGCAGTTACACGTGCAAGTTACAGCAGTTACACGTGCAAGTTATGGCAGTTACATGTACAAGTTATAGCAGTTACACGTACAAGTTACAGCAGTTACACGTACAAGTTACAGCAGTTACACATACAAGTTACAGCAGTTACACGTACAAGTTACAGCAGTTACACGTACAAGTTACAGCAGTTACACGTACAAGTTACAGCAGTTACACGTACAAGTTACAGCAGTTACACGTGCAAGTTATAGCAGTTACACGTGCAAGTTACAGCAGTTACACGTGCAAGTTATAGCAGTTACATGTACAAGTTATAGCAGTTACACGTACAAGTTACAGCAGTTACACGTACAAGTTACAGCAGTTACACGTACAAGTAATAGCAGTTACACGTGCAAGTTACAGCAGTTACACGTGCAAGTTATAGCAGTTACATGTACAAGTTACAGCAGTTACACGTACAAGTTACAGCAGTTACACGTACAAGTTACAGCAGTTACACGTACAAGTTACAGCAGTTACACGTACAAGTTACAGCAGTTACACATACAGGTTATAACAGTTACACATACAGGTTATAACAGTTACACGTACAAGTTATAGCAGTTACACCTACAAGTTACAGCAGTT